AATCTGAAAACGTAATTAGGTCATTTTGACCAAATTTGACTTAGTCCTCATTTCGATGTGATGGCTCACAAATATCATAATGAATCTGTTTTAAATCCTAAACAGTTTTTCAACATGTTTGTTTACTGATTGTTTGCTAAAAGCTGATGATTATATTTATTGTTAAATAAAACCTGACAGCTGAGACGATGTGGAACTCATGAGACGTTTACAGAAACAAGTTCTACTTTTCTCTCATTTGTGTCTCGTCGTCCTGCAGGTGTGAAAACCACCACGAGAAGCTGAGTGTTTTCTGCTGGACCTGCAAGAAATGTATCTGCCACCAGTGTGCCCTGTGGGGAGGCATGGTTCGTGTCCCAGCTTTKAGTTTTAACAAATGATAATGAACACACTGTTCACAACTTCTTATTTACCTTAATGAGGCCTGAGTTCCAAAGAGAAGCATTCAATCTTCATGTTACAGAAGCTAACAGCTGATGTTTTGGTTTGCAGCATGGCGGTCACACCTTTAAACCTCTGGTGGAGATTTATGAGCAACATGTGAGCAAAGTGAAGGAAGAGGTGTCCAAGCTGCGCCGCCGCCTCATGGAGCTCATCAGTCTGGTGCAGGAAGTGGTGAGAACTCCTTCCTTTCATACGAGGACAAAAGGAAACACAAGCTGTAATATTTCAGCTTATTAATGCCCACGTTTTACCTCATGAACAAACAGCATGACAATACAAAACCGTTACAGTTTATATTAGGGATGCAAGTTATCGATTAATGGATTAATCTAAAGTTGATTGATCTTATCGATCGACTAACAATTAATTGATAAGTGGAAATTTTCCTAAAAACCTGACATTTCTCTTGAATCAAGAGTCTTTCTARTAGGGATCGACCGATATTTTTGMRRGATAMTTGGGTTTTTTCCTTGTATCGGCCGATACGCCGTCCGTTRGACCGATCTGTTCTTTGGGTCACGCGAGCGCATGTGTCCGCCCCTTCCCCCGGGGAGAGCGCAGCAGCTAATGTTGTGAGACAGAGTGCTAACAACAACAAGG